GGCCACATATGGCTCTTTGCAGCAGATCGCAACTCGATACAGCTGTGGGGGTAGAGTGCCAGGGAGAGGAGTCACCAGCTAGTTACCAGACCATGCATCGGTCGAGTGGCAGTCCTGCAAGTTATGGCTCAGCGACAGGGCCCATCCAGAGCGTAGAAGCGCGTGGTACGGTGTTTCTCTGGCGCTGTATCATGGCCCTGATGATGATGGTACCTGAATGAGGACTGCTAAAACCGAGGCATGCATGAGGAGTACAGGAAAGGCATGGGAGAGTCACCTTATGAGCCTCCTGCGCCTCCTGTCTTACACTCGTCCTCTCTAACTACCCATGTCAGTATTTGTGATAATAGTTTGGAGTCGCATCGCGAATACACGTGATCCGACTATATCGTAACATGACTACTGAATGACTAAGCATAGATCTGCAGAGACCAACAACCAAAAAAGAACCGAAAGGACGAAGCAGAAACACACAACTTCAGCTGCTTCAGCTTTGCGATTTCCAACACGCAGCACCCATCTGGAGCTTCGCTATCAATTTCGTGAGCCGCTTGGTCGGCAGTTAAGACAGAATGTCCTTTTTTGGGTTCGACACCAAGCTTCCGGAGGACCGTCCCGCGGCGTCTGCGCAGAGGGGCATCTTCGACGCCCCAGACCCGTTTGCGGAGGTTGCTCGCGCTACAGCAGATAGAGCGGGCTACGATGACGACGATGTGTGAGTCTCATAGTGATACTTCTCTGGCCAAGTACGCCCTTTTTAATACTGTGCTGACCGCGGTTCCTGCATTGGGAAAATCCAAAAAACCAGAATTGACTTTGAGGATACCTACGATGGGCTTGGAGACCAGCTCGAAGAAGCGAATGACGATTTCAACGATGACACGTTTGGAGATGCAGCCGGTGGGGAGAACAAGCCGGTGGGCAAAGACTTTGATTTCTTCGGGAATACCGCTCAGATGACAAATGTCTTGGGCGAGGAACAAGTGCTCTATAACTTGCAACATGGCTCATCCAAGGCCACCGCTAAACCCTCCCTACCTTCACTTCCCAAGCGGACGGGATATGAGAAATACCAAGATCCCGGTTATATCCCCGAAATTCAAGCAAAATCAAGTGTATGGGGGACCACCGCTACCCAGAAGCCGAAGACTGTTGCGGCTGAGACGGTTCCAAAGGAGCAACCGGCTTCTGAGCCTCCAAAGAAGATGCTGAGTCTAGAGGAGGTAGAAGCTCAGATGAGGATGCAGGCTATGCGACAAGTGCCTCAGCAGCCTCAGAGCCAACCACCGCCACCACAGCAGCAGTTTACAGCTCCCATGCCCCCTCCAGGCGTTCCTCCAATGCAATTCCCCAGCCAGCCACTGCTCCACCACCCTGACGCTCTTGGCCAACTACCCCCTGAAGAATTGCTTTCTCATCAGCAGTATCCTCCAAATAATATGCCTCCGCCCCTTGGGTTCCCGCAACAGCCACACCTACAACAACAGCCGCAGCAACCCAACTTCCCCCTACATCTTCTACAACAATCACAGCAGCAGCAACAACACCAACCACAACGTCATCAGCAGCAGCAGGTCCAACAACAGCAACACCGGCAACCGCACCAGACTGGCCGGCATTGGGCGGGCCCTGCTCGCCATCAGGGAAAACCTCAAGGACCATATACCTTGGATCACCCGCTGATGGGGCAAGGTGGTGTCCCTGCGGCTCTGAATCCAAAGATCATGGAGTTGCCGGAAGAGCAGAGGAATGCGATTCTGTTGGAAGATGCCAAACGTGCAAAGAGAAACCACAAGATATTCCTCCTCTCCAAAGGAAACGGCTTAATGACTCCACAAGACAAGAACTTTATCACTCGAATACAGCTGCAACAGTTGGTAACGGCGACCGGCAACACCGGCGACGCCAACCCAGAATCCCTTCTCACGGAAGATTTCTATTACCAAGTGTATAGCCAAATCCGCGGTGCCCCACGCCAACATCCTCGTCAACCCCTCGGTCACTTTGCACAGACATACCTTTCTCAAACCGGAGGCCGATCTGGCGGTAACATGAATAGAAGATCCCATTTCAGCGGCGACAACCACATGCAGCGCATGCAGCAACAAGTACAGAGGGCTGTTGAAGCCGCCAAGCTAAAGCCAAAGAACAAACAACTCATAATTGAAGGAAGTCTGGGGAAAATCTCCTTTAGCAATGCCAAGACCCCCAAGCCCTTGCTCAACATCAAACGCCCCGAAAGTTCTGACGGGCAAAGACCTTCTACCGCAAAGAAAACACAGCTCAGTTCTAGTGACCGCAAGTCAATCCTGCAGAATATCGAGACTGTTTACATTACGTTGATGAACATGGAGAACCTTGTACGCTTGATGCCACCAATTCCAAATCCAGAAGTAGAAGATGAAGAGGCGGTAGAACGATACACGGAATGGCAACGAAAAATGCAATCCCTAAAAGAGGTGCTATGGGACAGCACGAAAGTTCTTGAGCCCATTGACTCTGTCTCCGCCACCATACACCCTTTCATCGCTTTCTTGTCATACCCCAAGGGCAAAAAGGCCATTCCTCGAATCTTCCATCAAATTGATCAGGAACAGCGTATCACCATGCTGACCATGATTATCTACCATTTGGACACATTGGATGTTGTATCAAGAGCCCAGCTACAACCAGGTGAAACTCAACCTCCGGGTCCTGTGCGCGAAGAAATCGAGCTATTCAACCAAGCCGTAATGCCCAGCTTACTCGGCTACGTGAGCGATGCCCCTATTCACATCGTCATTGGTCTCCTCGGCCTAGTTATTGATAAAACTCAGATTCACGCTATTGCAAGGACCAAGATTGGGCTTGGAATTTTGACCATGTTACTGAGCCAAGCGGAACTGGTCAAAGAAGCTGGTGGTGTTCCAGAGCCGGAATTGGCTCAGTGGACTAAGGTATACAATCGGTTGTTTGACAGCATGGAGCCTGCGCTCGCCTACCTGTTCCCTGGTACAATTAACAGTGGTGATGACATGTATGTTTGGCAATTCCTTGCTGCTATGGGCATTGGTGCAAACCCTGAACAGCAGCAGCGGCTGGTCATCGCCGTAAAGTGAGTAATCCTTCAATCCATCCCCCTTCAACCTGATTTGGAGAGTATTGCTAACGCTCCTCCACCATAGGGATCGAGTCCTGGAAACTGTCGCCCAAAGCAAAACGCTGCCAGCAGACATGGCTAGCCAGCGATTGGGCAATGTCAACCTGTTTATGCGGGCTATTGGGCTCGACGTCGAACTCCTGGGATAATCCACCCCTCCTACTCCGTACATTAATCTAATTCAATATCGCTGTTTTTCTTTTACCTCTTCTTTTAACCTCTCTATGTTGACACTTTTCTCTTCCGAGAACATCGTCTTGTCTTATGGATTGTAAACACCGCGCTTTTGACAATGCATTAGGTCTGCTGTCTTCATACTGACGTTTATACTATATCCACATGAATTTGGGCAGTATATACCCCCGTTGTTTTCCTCTGCCGGTTTCTACTTTTCCTTTTTTCTAGAGAAGGGTGCATAAGAGGTTTGTCTCATGACACTTCTGTGGTATAAATAGGTTATTGGCACGGTAGCAGGCAAGCATCCCATTGCAATTTTGGTAATTGGTGGATATAACAAAAATGACATATGATGAATTACCAACGCCTACACATCTTGATCCAAATATTAAGTCACAAAATATTATTATTATTATTATTATTATTATTATTATGTATCACCATATCCCTCCCGGATAAGGAGAGTAAATGACCGGCATCTCACGCACCCACTGCGGCTGCTCCCGCTCAACCTCCTGGATCATCCAGTTCGCCCAGTCTCTCCTCTCCAGGTAGATGGTGGTCTTTCCGTCCCCAATCCAGCCAGTTTGCGCCACTCGTCCATCTTCCTGTGAGTCCCCAAGTACGCCTACCCTGTACAGCGTCCAGTCCAGTCCCTCCCCTTTTTCCTTGAAGACCTCTCCAATACCCAAAATTTCTCTCTGCGATCGACGACCAAGCATGTACACGGTCCAATACGCAGCAGTTCTCATGAACCCGAACTGATCACGAGCGTCGTAAGCACTGATCGTCGACATTGCGATGATACGCGTAACGCCGTGCTGGCGCATTAATTCAAGGATCAGTCGGTATCCATCAGAGAACTGGCGGCCATAGTCGCCGAAGATGCTCTTGGGGCCAATGCAGGATAGTATTGCATCCTGTCCTTTGATGGCTGCGGAGAGCGAAGACTCGTCGGACAGAGAGCCCTCGTATATTGCCTAGACATAGTTGAAATAGTTAGTTCATTTAACGAGCTAACGAACTACCCGGCTGTGGGTTTAGTTATCTGGATGATCCCGTCTACCTTGACTCGGTCTGAGCTCGATATGGCTTCCGGCACCCTGCTCCTGTCACGGACGTGCAGTGTTATCTCATGGCCGTGGTCGATGGCCTTGCGGACTGTCAGTCCCCCGGCTGCTCCTGTGGCGCCGAATATAAGCAGTTTCATGGCCTAGATAGTTAACTGGAAAGCCGTCAGCTGGTAACAACGGCCAGCGTGGCTAGCAGCGAACAGCGAGTTGGTTATACTGAAGCCGCCGCAGTGAGATTGCGCCTCGCTCTCAGGCTCCGTGTCCCGAGAACTAGTTAACTAGTTATAGCTATGCTGCTAGCTAGCTAGTTATATGAGAGAGGCTCCACGATCTGTATAGCGTCACCCTTGCAGCCCGCAGCGCTCTGTCCGACATCTGAAACGCCCTTGTGTCGTCATCCATGCGGCTCGGAGGCCACCAGCCAGCCCGCTGCACCGCGTTTGTTAGTTACCTAACTAACTAACTAGTTGACCATCACCTCACTGACACCTCCAGGGGCCACCAGCCAGCCAGCTACATAACTACCCCGCCGCCTGACGCTGGTATCTCTCAACCAAGTTCACAGTCGCATCCTCGCCGTCCTTCTACACACCCTCACGCTCGCTAATAATATGGCTACCGGATCAGTTCTTGTTACGGGGTAAGCATGTCCTGGTTCCTGTGCGCGCGTCGTTGCGGTGGGCTGACTTGCATGCGCCACCTAAAGGGGGACGGGCTACATCGGCTCCTTCACGGCGCTCGCCCTGCTCGAGGCTGGTTACAAAGTTGTCGTGGTCGATAGTCTGTACAATTCCTCGGAGGAGGCACTCAATCGTATAGAATTGATTTGTGGAAAGCGTCCGGAGTTCGTCAAGCTCGACGTTAGAGACGAGGCAGCCTTCGACAAGGTCTTTGAAGCGCACCCTGATATTGACAGCGTGATCCATTTCGCAGCTCTAAAGGTAAGTTGGTTACTCTCCCAGTCAACTAGAGGACTGTTAAGTGGTGTTGCATATTACTGTTTGCTAACTTGTTTTGCCCAGGCTGTTGGTGAATCCACTGAACGTCCGCTAGACTACTACGACGTCAACGTTCATGGCTCGATCTGTCTGCTGCGGTCGATGGTGCGTCACAATGTAACCAACATCGTCTTCTCGAGCTCAGCGACCGTGTATGGAGACGCTACTCGCTTCCTAAACATGATTCCCATTCCGGAGGAATGTCCCTTGGGCCCAACCAACCCATACGGGAATACAAAAGTTGCAATCGAATCAGCGATAACCGACATGGTCAATTCGGAGAGAGCCCGGGCAAAGAGAGCTGGAAAGCCAGAAGATGTCGAGAAGTGGAACGGTGCCTTGTTGCGGTATTTCAATCCGGCTGGTGCTCACCCCAGTGGAATCATGGGTGAAGACCCCCAAGGTGTTCCGTATAACTTGCTTCCTTTGCTCGCGCAGGTTGCAAATGGAAAGAGAGAGAAACTCTCCGTGTTCGGCAATGGTATGTGTATCTCACCTTTCCAGAATTTAGGGGGTCCTAGCTCTACCGTACAGTGGCTAACCAATGGCCAGACTATGCTTCCCACGATGGCACCGCCATCCGTGACTACATTCACATTCTCGACCTTGCGGATGGCCATCTAGAGGCGCTCAACTACCTGCGCGCAAACCATCCTGGTGTTCGAGCATGGAATCTCGGTACCGGTAAGGGAAGCACTGTCTTGGAGATGGTCAAGGCTTTCAGCGCTGCTGTTGGACGAGATCTTCCATACGAGATTGCTCCTCGTCGTGACGGAGATGTCCTCGACCTTACCAGTAACCCATCAAGGGCCAACAAGGAGCTTGGATGGGTCGCTAAACGAGACCTTCACCAGGCTTGCGAGGATCTATGGAGATGGACTGAAAATAACCCTCAAGGGTACCGACAGAGCCCTCCAGCAGCCCTGCTTGAAAAATTGAAGGCGAAATCAACGTAAGGACAGCAAAAACCAAGGCATCTACACTATAGGAAGGCTATAGACGCTACCTCTCGCAGCATTGATGAAACATAAAAAAAAGAGTCTGCTGTATTTCTTCTATGTTTAGATTTCGATTTACCTGGTCATACTACACAAGGAACTGTGGGTTTACGGGTATAATGGCAATAGGGCAGTAAGGAAATGGATAGGAAAGATCTAAGGCAATACGGAGTACTGCACTCTTTATTAGGATAATCCAATTCACTCTGCAAGAGCTATACATTCAGTTCATTTGCCCCATCTATGTTCGGCCGTATAATCACATCATGCCTCTGCGTGTAGGCTCATTTCTTCTTCTTCCCTTCAGTTGACGTCTCAGTCTTCGGCTGTTTCTTCTTCTCCTCCTCTTCCTCCTCTCTAGCTTTCTTCTCCATCGCCCTGAGTAAAGCAGCTTCCTTTTCCTTCTGCTCAATTTGTCGCTGGCTGAACTCCCATAACTCTTTGCCTGCCTTCTCATCCATAATCTCGCTTCGAAGGACGTGGCGCTCCTTGCATTCCTTTAACAAGGTCCCTCCCTCGATACCTACTTTCATACGTCCGGTCATGTCGCTATTTTCACCCGCCATTTTCTTAATTTCATCAAGGCTAACGGCGGCAGTGTTCCCAACTCCGCTGAAATTTGCTTCCATTGCTGCCATAAGGATACTCTGTGCGCCTTGCTCGGACGATTTAAGCACTAGCCACCATATCGGCCATGTTATAAGATAAAATAAGAGCCCCCACAATGAGCCTCCAGTAAGCCACCGACGGGTTCCTGGAGTTCTGCAAAACCCTGGGTCCACAACTAAGACCCGAGCGGGCGGAGGTGGGAGAGGGTTATTTTGCTTGTCAGTGCGGGGGGTATAAGTTAAATGTTGCTGAAATGAACGTGCAAAAATCATAAGTGCGAGCTTAGAGGTCGCATACATGCTGCTACTGGACACGAGCGATTCGGGGCCCTTTTTGGCCTTTTGTTTTGTCGACGAGTCAACCGAATGCTGGATGACAGTTGCTTTTTCCAATACTTTGAGATCTAATTTATTTGCCCCGATATAACTTGAGCAAGTAGTGAATATAACTCGTACGTCTCGGTCGGGCGGCTGGGCTCGCAAAGCAGGGCTTAAAATGCTCAGTAAATGGTAGTTCGCAAGATAATTTATCTGCCATTCTTCCTGGAGTCCTTCGCTGGTTCCATGCGATGTTCGAGAAGAAGATGGTTTCTGTGTATTCGCACAAAGCACAACCATATCAAGCCGCCGTACAGGGCTATTGTCGATCCATTTTGTAGCAAACAGCCGAATGGAATACAACGAGGAAAGGTCGACTTGTTCCGCGTAAATGAGTTCGTTTCCAGTCAAGGTACGGAGATCTTCAATGTAGTCGACAATAAATGGATCAGAAGGTAAGTGTTGCGTCAGTATTATGACCTGGGCACCTCTAATCGCCAACTCTCGTACAACGGCTGCACCAATGCCAGACGTCCCGCCCTATGTTCTCGTAATAAAAGGACAAAGTATTAGTAAAGTATCAGGCTAATTGCGTAATTTGTAATGCCCATACCGTAACAAGAACCACTTTAGAGTGCATGACTCGATCTGACTTGTTGGTAGCTCCTCCAAAATATCGTTTTAACGCGGCAATTACAGCAAGACCAGCTGCTGTTTTCATGGCAGTGTATCCATAGGGAATTGCTGAAAGGCCTCGGGTGGCACCTTCAGCAAGGATGGGCAAAGGCATAATGGCAACGGTTTTCTTCTGACCTCAGAAGCTGGTAGCGAAAAAGGATCTAGGTGGGAAGTTCAGCTCCTGGTTTCGAGGACGTGGCAACGAAATAATTGTTGCTTAGTGGTAGGTATATTTATATGCTCGTTGCGATATATAGAAAAGGCCAATCAATTAATCTCGACATAATGCTTGTTTAGATGGGGTCCTTGCTCTGTCCACCACAGATTCATTGACCTGCTCGTGAGTTTGGGCTTAAGATAAGAATAATAAAACGATGATTACGACAAAAAAGACGGGAGTCGATTTTAAGGTTATTACATAATACATCACACTCTTTTTGAGCCTCAACATTAACGCAAGGTCTTGCAACCGCCAGAAAAGCACGACGACGAGAGCAGAAGATGATGGCCTCCGATGATGAAGAATACTCTGTACCCCAGGCTTTTGGTGCCGGTATAAAAAGAAAACGTGTTCCGTTTATTCCATCCAAGGATGCAACTGCTCTCTCTACAACATCTGCCCCCGTCACAGTTTCTTCCTCGCCTGCGCCTGGAGCGTCGTCCATAGCAGATAAATACCTCTCTATCGTTCTCCCATCGAGTAGTCAGTCGGATACTGTCTTGCCAGACCGTGCTTCCACTGATACGAAGCTATGCGAGGTTTGCCATCTCCCGTTGAAGGGTACTCCTAAGCGTCCGAAGCAGGATGGTGAAAAGGATACCCCGGATTCAACCAGCGAGTCGGCAGTCCCTGTGCCGCATGAGGCTTCTCTGGCGCATCAAGTGTGCCTCCCACATTCCCATCCACCATCCGCCATTGATCGGAAAGGAAAAGGCTACAGGTACCTCTCCTCTTATGGCTGGGACCCTGATTCTCGCACCGGCCTGGGGCCCACTGGGTCTGGCATTCAGATTCCACTCAAACCCAAAATCAAGAATGACACAACCGGGTTAGGAGTAGGCTCTTGGAGAGATGAAATAGAGAATGCAGGAGGGAAGCGGCATGAACGCAGACTCAAGCAACTACGTGAAAAGGAGGAAGCCAATAAAGTAAAAAATACACCAAAGCTAAATGCAAAACAAATTCGGCTACAGGAGGAAGCGAAGAGGAGGCAAGGGGAGAAGCTACGGGATGTTTTCTACCGGAGTGAGGATGTGGAGAAGTACTTAGGAAGTTGATATGTTTTGTAGCGCTTTAGATTACAAACCCCTTCCCCATCGCCACGCACTCTATGCATGGAAATGCCTGAGCGCAGGCCGTGGTTTTTGACCATTCGAAAAGACATGATAGTTATATTTTGCCCTTTGTCTCTAACCTTAGACAAATTTCTGAAAATACAGGCTGATAAGCGTTTAGAGAGTGTATATGAGGCCCATCGACTCAGAGGGTTGATTATTAGTGATGAATATATTATGATACTATAATACTCTAACATAAATATGCTAGGCAAACAGTCACGCCAATGCCAAAAAAAAAAAAAAAAAGGAAAATTGCTACAGGTGGCGAATAAATGGTATCGCAAGGAGAAAGCATCATGCTCCGGAGAGGAAATGAAATTGTAGACGAGGGTATAGCGGTCGCAAATCCGGAAATGAAGATGTAGAACACCAATGTAGAGTAAGCTTGCTAGCTTATTTAAAAAACCCGCGTTTCTTCTTTTCCTTGCTCTTTTCCTTTTCCTTTTTAGCAAGCTTTCCGCTAGAAGGTGGTGGAGTTTCAGCTGGTGTGGCACTTGAAATTTCATTTGTTGGCTTCCTCTTGATAGCCTCAGGGCCATTGCTGAGGTTCATCGATGCCATCCCAGTAATTGGAGGGGCTGGTGGTTTGGGTTTAGGGGATGGGTCTCTTTCAAAAAGATGAGCGGGAGCCTGTGGCTTAGGGCGGTCACTTGGAAGATCAAGGCGTCTCTTATCAACACTCAGATCCCTTATTTGTCGTAAGTATAAGCCTGGAGTAAGCACATGTGAGCTCGCCAGAAAAACATCCTTGTTAGTTTGTTGAGATATCTCATAGCAGCTCCTAGCTTCAGAATATGTTGCACCGCCAGCAATGAATACGATAATCCGTTGACGGGGGTCACCAGCGACTGGCCGAGTGCGGGCCCAAGTTGGTTTTGCACTTCGGAGGGAGGATTGAGCAACTTGATCATGAGGCGTGCTCTCATCCTCTAAATATGGCCGTGTATACGGGAAAATGGTGTTGTCTAGTGTGCCTTTAATTTGCTCCTGTAGCATCAATTTCACGTTCGTCTCAAAGCGTGATATGCTGACGTCCTCCTCCTGGGGCTGCTGTGGCAATTTCTGTGAGAACAAGGGCTGGTGTGGTGGTTTTGGATCCTTAAGAGGCTTCTCGACCCTTGCACCCAGAAGCCCAAGGTTATAGATAGCTTCACCGTCCTGCGGAGGAAGTTGTGAGTGCGCAAGAAGTTTCTTAATATCTCCTGCGAGGAGCCCGCCGCGATAGCACAGATATAACAAAATCAACCTAAGTCGCTCTGAGGGTCCTACAGCATCATCGTCAAGAAGGCGAACTAACTGCTCTGCAATGTTCTTGGGCTTTTTGAAGTCTTCGTCGACTCCAGTGGCGAGGCATTGTTCAACTGCTGCAATATCTGCCAGATTGCGCTCCTGGAAAAGCCGCATTGTCTCTTGAGCCATATTGAGATGGAGGGTATAGGCATTTTTGCCTTCCTGAAAATCTGACAGGCCTGCAAGCATATCCTTGACTGTATTGACTGACGCAGGAAGGTCGCTTATTTGGCAAATGTTAGATATGGGGGTGCAAATAAAGTGGGGGGATAATCACTTACCTGTCGGCAAATTGAGGGTTTTGGGCTCTAAACTTTTTGAAATCTTCAGCGAGCTTTCCAAGCAGGTCTTTCATGTGTAAATGTCGACTGTTCACCCAAATTTTATCCCCCTCAGTAATTTCCATATCTCTTGTCTCTTCAGTCTCTTGACCTTGGTTCAAGACAGTTCGATATGTTAGTTTATCACCCTCTTTGATGGGAAGGAGGTCATGAGCCATGGCCTGGTAGGTAAACTCATGAACCAAAGGCGCAGCAAGATCCATGGATCGATCGGTAATAAATAGCACACCCCTCGGCCGGGGGGTAGGGACAGGATAATCCCTCCGGTGCTTTGCATACTCATCTAATTCGTCTTGTACAAACCGGGCTAGATGGGCACATAGGACACTTGCTTCATGAGATGCATCCTTAGGTCGGAAGTATCGAATAAGGGGGTATTCGTTTAGTGACACACAAACAGAAACAATCTACATGATGTCAGCTGAATGACTGTATAAACAAATTTCAAGAGCAGTATTATAATACCTTTTGTGCTAACTCGACGAGATGACTCCTCACAAGGTTGTTGCACGCAGGATGAAAGAGTGTAAGAAAGCTCCAGGGGTCGCGGAAGATAGCCAGGCGTGATTCTCGCGGGAAGAAATTGATGTTCATTACATGCATATTGGCAATAAGCTCCCGTGCAGCGCTGAAGCCGTTGATTCGACTCCTCATTGAAGGATCAAGATCTAAGATAGGTATTGCATCAGCAATCGATCGGATGTCTAGAGGAGAATTTCCATCTCCATACTTGATGTCCAAACCAAGAAATATTTTCTGTAACGGCGTCTTTCTAGGTCTGCCATAACGCAGTCAACAATATGAGGAAGCGCAGATAAGATATAAAGGGCGTCTGTTTCTTTGTTCATCGGCCGTCGATGTTCGATCTGTTCAATATCTTGTAAAGCGTGTGTGAGCTTATGTATATATAGAGCATGGAATCGGCATGCGCATACTTGTCACATTCTCATTCAAGATATCATCTTCCTTGACGGCGTTATCGATCAGCCTTTTGCTGCCCTCGTCCACCACAAGCACTTTCCACTATATAATGTCATCTTAGCCCCGCGTCGTGCTTCATTACTAGATCTCAAGGAGCGCTTACTTCTCTGCCTCCCGCATGACGAACTGTGTCCAGAATAGCTATATGACAAGAGTTAGTATATCTATCATACACGGCGTTCAGGAGAGGGAGAGACAAAAGGCCGCTCGGTATCACTCACCCTGGCGCTGAACCTCGATCAAGGAGGCGTCCATATTGTTAGATAAGGAAGCATGAGCTAAAGTAAATCACCTATACGTGCACTTAGGCAGCCCTCGCCGGTAGAGAACAACTGGCCCAGATTTATCTGCCGGAGTCGTCGCCTAACGCAGTCGTCAGTCACCCACCGTGGTGTGACTTTCGGTGACCAGCTTGTTTTGTTATTTTCTCCTTGAGACATTCACCTTCACTTCCCAGGCTGTTAATATCCCACTCTTGTTCGCCGATCTTGCTCGCTTTTTGGAATAAGCGCGTTTCAAGGGCCCGCTTGCTTAGTCACCGTAAGCTGTAAGGAGCATTTAGCCGCGTCACGTGAATACCTTAATCAGATACCCAAACTCTGATGCTTTTTTCTTTGGTCACTGAAAAAGGGAGCTTCTACAGAGATTTTCTTGATGATGACACTGCATTCTGCATTGGATGCCAGTTTCAACCTTGCTTGTTCCTAATTCCCTTGAGGGCTGCCCAACAAAATCATTGCGGGGATGCAACCATGGCAACACCCGGCTCGAGGTCTTTGCCTTCGTTGCGCTCTGCGCGCGCCAACTACTCCAACAAGACGGAGCTTCAGCGGATCGGTACAGCATAACAGGGCCAGGATCACGGCGTTAAATAGGCCGCTTGAGCAGCTTAGTTTTGACTGGGTAAGCGGTAGGAAGGGTAAAAATGATGAAAAGAAGGGCAAAGACCCCAAGGTGAGCCTTTCCCCGCTGTCTCAATTGCTTGAGGTATAAATACAAACTAACCATTGTGTGCTCCGGATGATAGCCCTGGAAGTCTCAAGGTCCAAGCACCAAGATAAGAAAAGTCGGTCGCATTTCTTTCGATGAACGGTTCCAGTCCGCGTTACTGGAGTCTTCGGACATCGTCAGGAAAGAGCTTGAGCAGACAAAGCTAGAACTCGCCCATTGGGATAAGTTTTTTGCCTCAATCGTTCATGCTTGCAAAAGCTCTCTTATTGATGACGGCGATGAAGCCCATTTCGGACAGAGGTTTACGTTAAGGCGGACGTTCGGGAAGATGGGGCGAGAAGGAATTGTCGATTATCTGAGAAGGCAATACCGGAATCACAAACTTGACACTGCATTCTCCTCTACTGCCGCCAAGTCAGACTCGCTAGCGGATTTCAGGTATCCAGCTGAGTGGTACCCGGTTGCCCGGAGCATGCAGCGGAAGATTCACTTGCATGTAGGACCTACCAATTCGGGAAAGACGTACCATGCTTTGCAACGATTAGAGAAAGCAAAGAGCGGCTTCTACGGTGGCCCACTACGTCTATTAGCGCATGAAATCTACAGTCGACTCAATAAGAAGGGGATTTCATGTGCCCTTATCACGGGTGATGAGGTCAGAGTACCAGATAGTGGTCCCGTTAAAGTTTATAGTAACACGGTTGAAATGGTACCTATTGGCCAGGAGGTAGAAGTTGGGGTGATTGACGAAATCCAGATGATAGCCGATCCGCATCGAGGATGGGCCTGGACAAGAGCTGTCCTGGGGTGCCAAGCCCAGGAACTACATCTCTGCGGCGAAGAGAGGGCTGTCCCCCTTATTCAACGCCTTGTCTCACTGATGGGCGATACCCTTGAGATCCATAATTATAAACGACTGAATCCCCTGAAGACAATGGCATCAAGTTTGAAGGGTGATATCAGACGACTAGAAAAGGGGGATTGCATTGTTGCCTTCTCTCGGGTTGGGATTCATTCCTTGAAGCAGGAAATTGAAAAAGCTACGGGCCGGAGAGCGGCAATCGTCTATGGGAGCTTGCCGGCAGAGATTCGCGCCCAACAAGCTGATTTATTTAATGACCCTAATAACGATTACGACTTCCTTGTTGCGAGTGACGCTATTGGCATGGGTTTGAACCTGTAAGTTGAGCTCGTCACGTCATAAGGCTGAAGGTTACTAACCGCGACTTTAGGAGTTGTAAGCGAATTATTTTTGAGTCTGTGATAAAAAGGCTACCTACTGGCATTCAGCGACTCTCAATATCTGAGGTTAAGCAAATAGGTGGGCGAGCCGGAAGATATCGTAGTGCTGCTCAATCGTCCGGCTCCGCAAATGGCAATGAAAAGGAGAATGTTGGCCTTGTTACCTGCCTTGATGAGGCAGATCTTCCCTATATTCGAGCAGCCATGATGGCTGAGGCAGAACCTCTCGATGCTGCTGGAATTCTTCCGTTAGATTCCGTGATTGACAATTACTCTAATATGTTCCCCCCGGACACTCCATTTGGCTACATTTACCAGCGCTTAGAACGTGTGTCTCGCACAGATCCACCATTTTTTATGTGCAAGATCCAAGACACCGAGGCGACGTTTGGCCTCCTTGATAATATCCAGGGTCTTAACGTGATCGATAAAATGGTTTTTATGAGCGCTCCTTTACGGGCTACTGACCCAGTAATGGCACGAGTTATCAAAGCATTTGCGGAATGTGTCGGTCAGCAGAAGAGTGGCAGGTTACTCGATATTCCTGAATTGGACCTTGAGATACTGGATAGGCCTGTCTCAGGCGATGATAAGGAATACCTCCGGTCTCTCGAAGCGCTTCATCGCTCCCTCATTCTTTATCTCTGGCTTGGTTACAGGTTCGGTGGTGTATTCACAGACCGGACGCTGGCTACTCATGCTAAAGAGATGGCGGAAGTGAAAATGGATCGTACTCTCACTGAATTCTCGGCGAATTCAAAACTCCGAAAACAAGCACTCCGAAAGAAACGAATTAAAGGGGCTAAAGACAAATTCCTAGCTAGCCCCGAACCGACAGACGCCATGGGCACAATTCCCGATATTCCAGAACTTGAGACCACTCTTCCTGATGAGGACGAGATAGAATTTGAAAACCCTAACTCCGCTCTAGCAAGTACTCACATAAGGGCGCCAGTACCCTTTGCACAGCATACTTCCCCTAGTACACCGTAACATTACACTTTGCTATACTCTACTGGTTACCATCTTCTACTTCTAAGACCTGCGATCACTTATCCTCCTATTTCAAAGCTTTACCACTCCTCGTTCTTGGCATATATTATCATACCCACAAGCTCTGGCAGCTTGATGAACCAGTTCTGATACCCATTTCCATCCCCAATGCTACCACACCTTCCATCGTCGATTAATCTAGATTCTCCGTTATCACAATAATCTCTAGATTTGTATTATTATAAATTATATACTGCTACGTTTAAAATGTATCATAGGACAGCCCAACTATCACCATTCCAACTCTTGATTGCTACTGGGGATTTGCTTTTAAAAAAAACAAGTGTAGCGTGCCGAGGTAGCTTAGTAGCCGCGCCCGGCGTCTAGCGCATACCGGGAAATCTATTATCCGGATAGCTTCCGCCCTGAGGTCCCTTTGGGCCCATTTATCGTAAAATCGCAAAATCTGGAGGCTGATAGACTCAAGATAACGAGAACTAGAGCTTCTTCGTTAGTATCACCAGCATGGATGACCTTGAGTCTCTCGAGCTCTTGTCACTCGTTTCGAGGGTAACAACTGAACTGCAAAATCATTTAGGAGTCAACGAAAAGACGCTCGCGGAGTTCGTGATCGACCAGCATCTAAAATGCAAGTCTCTCGACGAATTCAAGAGCTCCCTCAAGGCTGTTGGAGCAGATTTCCCTCAGAGCTTGGTGGAAAGTGTGGACCGCCTAGTCCTAACAATGCATCCTAAATATAAGTCGAAGCGATCCAAGCCGGACGAACAGGAAAAGCAACATATTGGACATGATGGAGTCGATGACATCGAGAAGAAAGCAAGGGTCTTCAAAGGGCTTGCGGTCCCAGATGATAAAGCTCCCCACTGGGAGGAAGATGAGCCTGAGCCGGAGCGGAATACAAATGCAGAGGCTATGGATGACACGTTTGCGATGTTAGAAGGTTTGGCTGGCAAAGCTAGAGCGGAACAAAATGGTTACTCAAGCAGTCGAAAGCGGAGCAGAAGTCCTGAAATTGATGATTATGATAGAAATCGGCCTCGCCGTGGGAGGTACAGGTCTAGGTCCAGGTCCCGGTCTGGATCGCCCAGTAGGGATCGGTATGGAAGTAGGCATTCTCACAGGAGCCGCAAATACCCCGATGAGCCTAAGGAGCGAGGACGATCTGGGCGCAATTATAATTATGATGATGATTTTAAGAGACCACCCGCATCAGAACTAGATGATCGGCCTATTCTCTTCAAAATTTATGATGGGAGAGTGACAGGTATCAAGGACTTCGGTGTATTTGTGAATTTGCAAGGGGTCAGGGGGAGAGTTGATGGTTTGGTTCATGTATCTGCGATGCAAGAGGGAGCAAGGGTAAATCACCCATCTGATCTTGTGTCTCGCGGACAGCAAGTCAAGGTCAAGGTTGTTTCTATCCAGGATTCAAGGATCGGATTATCAATGAAAGAAGTTGACCAGGTTTCCGGCCACGACCTGGCACCCCAGAGGCGAATTGCGTCAGGAGCAAATATGGAAAGATTAGATGGAACTGGCGCAGATGATCGATATGGAAACCTAGGGTCCAGCGTACCAGTTATCGAGCGGGATTCCGGTGCTAAAAGAAGCAAGAAAAGACTAAACTCTCCAGAGAGATGGGAAATTAAACAGCTTATTGCCTCTGGTGCCGTGTCTGCTGCAGACTACCCTGATTTGGATGAGGAATATCACGCTACGCTAAGAGGAGAGGGAGATTTCGAAGAAGAGGAGGATATTGATATTGAGGTACGTGAGGAAGAGCCTCCATTTTTGGCGGGTCAAACCAAACAGTCCTTGGAACTTTCTCCAATTCGTGTTGTTCGAGCACCGGATGGTTCACTTAACCGTGCTGCCATGGCTGGCGCAAATCTCGCAAAGGAAAGGAGAGAGATTAGACAACAAGAAGCCCAAGACAAGGCTGCGGAAAAGGCGGCTCAAGTCGATCTTAACGCACAATGGCAGGATCCGATGGTTGCGCCAGAGCAGAGGAAATTTGCGTCAGAGTTACGCACTGCTACCACTGAAAAGTCATCAGAGCCCTTGCCAGAGTGGAAACGAGCAGCGCAGAATAAAGATGTGTCATACGGGAAAAGGACAAATCTTTCTATGAAAGAACAACGCGAAAGTCTTCCTGTGTTCAAATTCCGCAAACAACTACTCGAAGCTGTTCGGGAAAATCAGTTACTTATCGTCGTCGGTGACACGGGGTCTGGAAAGACGACGCAGGTCACCCAATACCTTGCAGAGGGAGGATTTGCAAATAATGGCATGATTGGATGCACGCAACCTCGGCGAGTTGCCGCAGTGTCTGTTGCCAAGCGAGTATCTGAAGAAGTTGGCTGCCAGCTGGGCCAGGAAGTTGGTTACACTATACGTTTTGAGGATTGCTCTAGTCCTAATACTAAAATCAAGTACATGACTGACGGCATTCTTCAAAGAGAAATTCTTTTGGACCCAGACCTGAAGAAATACTCTGCCATAATGCTTGACGAGGCCCATGAGAGAACTATTGCCACTGACATACTCTTTGGGTTACTCAAGAAAACTATTAAGAGACGGCCTGATCTTAAGCTCATTGTGACATCAGCTACCCTCGATGCAGACAAATTCTCGGAATACTTTAATGGCTGTCCTATCTTTTCTATACCAGGAAGAACATATCCCGTGGAAATAATGTACTCCAAGGAACCTGAGTCAGACTACTTGGATGCCGCCTTAGTTACAGTGATGCAAATTCATCTCACCGAACCACCCGGAGATATCCTTTTGTTTTTAACTGGTAAGGAGGAGATTGATACTAGTGCGGAGATCTTATATGAGAGAATGAAGGCGTTAGGTCCCAACGTACCCGAACTTGTTATTCTTCCCGTTTATTCCGCTCTTCCAAGCGAAATGCAAAGCAGGATTTTCGAGCCAGCCCCTCCCGGGGGAAGAAAGGTTGTTATTGCAACTAATATCGCGGAAACGTCGATTACAATAGATCAAATATACTACGTTATCGACCCTGGGTTTGTCAAACAAAATGCCTATGATCCAAAGCTGGGAATGGACTCGTTAGTGATCACACCAATTTCACAAGCTCAAGCCAAACAACGAGCTGGTCGTGCTGGGAGAACAGGGCCTGGTAAATGTTTTCGATTATATACCGAAGCTGCATATCAATCTGAGATGTTGCCGACATCAATTCCGGATATTCAGCGTCAAAACCTTACCCAAACTATTCTTATGCTCAAGGCAATGGGAATTAATGACCTCCTGCATTTCGACTTCATGGACCCTCCCCCTACCAACACCATGCTCACTGCTCTTGAGGAGTTATATGCACTCTCTGCTCTTGACGATGAGGGGCTTTTAACTCGCCTCGGTCGGAAGATGGCTGATTTCCCCATGGATCCCGGCCTAGCCAAGGTCCTTATTGCCTCCGTGGATATGGGTTGCTCCGATGAAGTCTTGACTATTGTTGCTATGCTCTCCGTGGCTCAAGGTATCTTCTATCGACCTAAAGAAAAACAACAGCAGGCAGATCAGAAGAAAGCTAAATTTCATGACCCTCATGGCGACCATCTCACCTTGCTAAATGTGTATAACGCCTGGAAACAGTCACGATTCAGTACCCCTTGGTGTTTTGAAAACTTTATTCAAGCGCGACAAATCCGTCGAGCCCAGGATGTCCGCCAACAATTGGTTACCATTATGGATCGATACCACCATAAAATCGTATCCTGTGGTAGGGATACCACGAGGGTTCGCCAGGCATTTTGTTCAGGCTTTTTCAGAAATGCTGCTAGAAAAGATCCACAGGAAGGATATAAGACTTTGATTGAAGGCACCCCAGTTTACATGCACCCTAGCTCAGCACTCTTCGGGAAAGCTGCTGAGCATGTCATTTTCGATACCCTTGTCCTCACAACAAAAGAGTACATGCAGTGTGCCACGACAATAGAGCCAAAGGTATGGATTATCCTTATCATCTCTATCTCTTATGGTCGGTATTAAAATTATAATAATACTAACTCATTTACTTTAATTAGTGGCTGGTTGAGGCAGCACCGACGTTCTACAAGCAAGCGAGTACCAACAAATTATCAAAGAGGAAAAGAGCGGAACGCATTCAGCCATTACATAACAAATTTGCAGGCGAAGATGACTGGCGACTATCAGCCCAAAGACGACAAGGTCGTGGCGGTGGTGGAGGAACCTGGGGATGACTCCTCCATGCCCGGATATTCAAATCTTTCTCCCCAGGCTACACTGCTTATTCTCTCCCATTTTTTATTTTTACATTGTTTAGCACTGCCGTAACGCTTGTCCCCTCCTCTGCTGTGTTTATTTCCTCCGAGGAAAATGTACCAATACCATATTGAATAGATAGAGCTTAGCGCATCGTCCAGGTCAGATGCATAACTTGATGCCGATGTTTAGCAGTGACATTCCCTTAACAGCAACTATTGCTATTTACAGGCCACGTATTTATTGTTTGCCATCCTATACTCTCAAAGTACATTCGAGAAATTTAGCGAAAAGTCATCTGGTATAATAGATAAAAGATTGTACTTATTGAATATCAGAAATTGCGTTGTGCTCAGTGCCTGCAGGTAAGGAGGCAAATGAAAATGATAATGATAAAGGCAAATAGTACATAAAAGACATTGGGAATATTTGGTTGTTGAGATATTGATATATCTATATCAATATTCGGCGTCTGCAAGGCAATAGAGGTGAATAAGCGCATAGTAAGTTATCGGCATAAGGATAGCAATAGAATCATACCAGCAGGTTAAGATAAGGAGAAGAGAAAGTCAGCTGAAATAAGGGGGTTGAACAAAAGGAAGAGTATTGAAGTGCAGTAAATAGACACATATAAAAGGCAGAAATAAAAAAACAAAACAGTCAGATCATCGGACATTCAGAGGCATGCAGCAAGAGTAAGAGTTCATAACAGGACCTATACGAAATTGCAGACCAGCCCCGACCCGTGTATCACAAAGGAGAAACAAAGAACGTTGAAAGGAGAAAGCAGAAATGACCAAGCAGGCGCATTAAAACATCAATAGCTATACAGCTAGATGAATATGAGTATATCCAACTAAAGAAGAGAGGAAGAAGAAGAAAAGTCCAAGGAGGTTAGAGCCCGTATAATAGCCTGGAAAATCCAGAGCATTTGAATTGAAAAGTAGTTTTGTGTTTCTAATCCGCGAAGTAGGCTCAGCGATATGGGGGGCCCATCATACCGGAACCATTTCGATTTCCCATACCTCCGTCTCCTGGACCCCCACCATGTCCCGTGAACATTTCAAGTAACTGTCGAGATGATGGTTGATGGCCTCCTACACCTGGTTGCGGCCCTGCGCCGAAGTGGGCAGGGTGGCCATGAGAAAGGCCCATCATACCCTCAGGATTATGAGGCATTGGGGGGAAGGCCGAAGGAGGGGGGTGGTTCATAGCCATATATCCTGGAGGTGGGACAATACCAGGTGGAGGACCAAAGTTGGAGGGACCAGCGGCTCCAGGACCTCGCTGGAAGGCTTGCCTATCGTTAAGAGGAGGTATTCCCCCTGCCATTGGCATCTGCTGAACAGGAGGGTAACTCTGGTTGATATTACGATTCGGGGGTGGGTTAGGCATTCCTGGACGTCCGATAAATTGAGCAGATGGCCCTTGCTGCAGCTGCTGGGGATTTGGCCATCCTCCCGGAGAGGTAACCTGTTCGAGGCCTGGTGGGCGTTGGATGTTCATTGATGGTTGAACAGCAGACTGAGTAGTGCGAAGACCAGGAGGGTTAGCAGGAGTGTGACTCCCACTTGAAGGGCCCTGGAATTGCATTTCGTCATAATAACCAGGAGGACCTCCCGTGGCTCGACGGCGAAGTTGACTTCGAGGATCATTTGGATCTGGACGTTGCATATTTGCAATGGCAGGGTCATCGAAGAAAAGTGGGCTTTTCTGTTTTGGTATCTCATGGTTCCTAGGTTGCATGTCCGGCATATTTTGAGCACCAGGGTTTTGTAGTTGTGTTTGGGCTGGTATCTGGCCTTGGTGGGATTGACCAATTTTTGCTTGCTGCATTAAACGAAGTAGAAGATTGGAATCAAAAGGAGATGGCTGGGATTCCTTGGGAGCCTTTTGTGCAATGAGTTGCTCAAGCCCATGGGCTGTCTGCTCGCGATGAGGTTCGGAATAGCCCATATAAGGCTGTCGATTGATAACATCATGAAGTGGCGACGCAGTAGGAGCAGGTATATGGCTAAATTCTTGCTGTATTTGCTGGGGTGGAGTCGGCTTTGGTCGCATCATTTCTTCAGCTTGAGGTGTAGAGTTTCTAGACTTATTACCACCAAGGAGCTGTAAGATTCGCTGAAAGCCTTCTTGATCGGCATCAGTCGATACTGGGCGTGGTTGAGAAACTGTAGTCTCGGCTTCTTTAGGGGTTGCTTCAGTAGGAGAATTAAAAAACCCAGCAAACCTGGAGGACTTTGCTGGCTTTGCAGCTTGAGGCTCCTTTGTGGCAGATCCAGCAGCAACATTGCCATATCCTGGCTCTTGGGTAGACTTAGAGCCTCCCCAAGGCCCAAAAAAGTCATCAAACCCAACATCAGCTTTATATGCTGGTTCAAGACTTGAAAACATCTCTCCCTCCGTTCGCTTTATTTCAGCTGGCTTCGTCTCAACGCTACTGCTAGCCTCTGGAGCCTTCTTCTTCGTTTCATCCGATGGCGGAGCACCGCCCGATTTCATCCTCTCTTTCCATCTTTGGAAGTCTTCCTGGGTATGGGCTTCTTTGTGGTCTGATTTATTAGATGAATCCATCCATTCAGGGTCTTGTTCGTGCTTTGTAGACCGGTTCCAGTCCCTGTCCCTGTCTCTATCCCTATCCTGGCCTTGCACACCACGACGCCACTCCCGATTTCGTATAGGAGTTTTGTCGTCTTCCTGCTCAACATTCTCCTGGGAATCACCATCACGAAACCACGAGGGATGTTCGTGACGGCTTTTGCCCTGGACATCCCTCCGATTAGGGTATTTGCCTTGCTCACCACGATGGCCACGTTCATTTCCAGCTTCCTGTTGATCACGGTGCTCTCTAAATTCTCTGCTATCCCATCTGTCTCCCTCTCGTTTAACTCTCCTGTCAACAGTTTCTTCCTGGCCGAAGGTGCGTCTAGACCGGGTTCCCCAATCATCTTTATCATCACGTCCACTGCTTCGGCCATTTGTAATATGAGATTTGGAGTCTCGCTTGTCAAGGTCTCTGTCTCTATCGACCGAGTCCTTATCCTTCAGGAATTTATCACGGTGTGGAAAACGGTCGGATTTGGTGCCATCACCATCGGAAGATTTCAAGCTATTATACCTATCGGGATCACTAAATTTACCAAAGCCTCTCGTCGAAGAAGAAAATGATGTTCTAGGAGGTCCTAGTATGATGTCTTCTAGAATATAGGGTTAATACCAGTAAGGCGGGGGTTCGGTTCAGTGGCAGCATGACATACCCGAGTTCGAGGAACGAGATATATGACGCGGCTCGAAGAAACTCGACCTACGTGCTGAAGCAGTAGACTCGGTCTGGTTTGTTTGTTCTTTGGAGGCAGTATGTTTCTTCTGTGTAGATGCATCCACAAGCGGTCTGTGGGTTGGCAAATAACCATTAGCATTGCTCAACCAGGCTAATATAAGAGAAGGGGTAAGGAACGCAGTGAATACATACCCCACCCATTCTTCTATCGGAGGCAAGCCATCTGGTTTTACCACTAAAGGCGACTCCCGCAGGTGTAAAAGCTCCTCCTGTGAATATCTTCGTGCCATGGGAGAGGATATTGGCTAACCAAGCCGCATGGCCCAAACTCTGGGGGAATATTAGGGAAATATCGAGCGCGTAACAAAGCTGAGAATGATCGGGAGGGCCTTGGGGAGTCTGATCTTGTTCAAACGGTCTCCTTGATATTGCGGTTGAATGAGAGAGAAGTGCTGTCAATTCGTGGCAAGGGTTGCTGGTTGGGATGCGGTCGAAGCTAAAGGTGTGGTGGGTCTGTGGAAGAGTTGAGGGCGCTCAGGGGGGGTTCTATCGGAGTTCTTCTTCAGCGTAGACTTGGGATCGAGGCCAGGAGCAGGATGCGTAGAAAGGCGGTTTGTAGAAATCAATGGCTGTGCTGGTTTGGCTCTGTTTTTGGAGGTTGGAGACGCAAATGGGCGAATTTTCTGTGATGGAGAAAAAAAGATACAAAGCGGTCGCTAGCTTTAGAGTTTTCGTCTCTGTGCACCACCACCACCGCCAAAGTCGAGCCAGCCTAGCAAGCCGCCAGAGAACACGATGAGAGAGGACTGTGATATCGATACGGAGATCCTAGATGCATGGGATTTCAATGGAATATATTATTTATTTATCTACTTTTTCTGGCGGTCCTGTCAATGGGTGCCACGGTAGGCAGCAGCCTGGACGCTTCAGCACGCCAACTGCTGTACGCTCGAAGCCCCTGTCGACATAACAGCCGCTGCCAACGCAGAGCCACTCCAGCGATCAACCCATTCGCTGGAACTGGTACGGTACAGCTCTGTTGCAAGGGCTCGCAGTGTGCTGCTGTGGGCGTCGGATAGCGCTGCTTGGCCTTGCACCCAACTGAGGGCAGCAGCCCGAGTGATCAGTGTCGTGCTGCCCCCGATTTCACAAACACGATATACCAAGTGAAGGACCTTCTTCCGCAATCCTACTGTTAATGCGGGGGAACTATACAGGGAGAACAGCCGCTCAAAGACGCCGGCTCGTCGATATATGTCCATGTCCTAGTATATAGTCAGCTATTTAACAGAAACATGTTCCCGGATTTGCATAACTCACCAGTTCAGATTTAAGCCCGCAAACAAATAAATCTAGCAGCCAGCCAATTTCTTCATGGTTGCCATCATCGCTCTCTGGCTCATGGTAGAGTATTTTATCAATCCAATACGAGGGGATCTTCCCAACCTCCCATTGAGGGCTCCTGTTCAGGAAAGTGTTGATCTTTCCGTATAACTTGTGACTAGGATTCGTGAGAATGGCGAGCATGCGAACTGCAAGTTCTCCAACAATAAAAGGTGCTGGTGTGTCAAGGCCGAGTCCCTTCACTGTTTCCAATAATTCGCCAATGAGTATGTATATTGTCTGACGCTCTTCAAACGAGGATTCCTGCTCAGTTTAAGAAAATTAGAAACAAATAACCCGCCTCCCATAACTCTGGTGAGAAAGAACGAACCTTGAGTTTTGCCATGAAGCGTGATAAACCAACCATAGCTTGACGCCGAACTTCTTCATGCTCAGAGCAGACGCAAAGTATGAGATCTCCGATATACCCTTGGTCTATTGCTAGTTCAAGGTCTTCTCTTTCCCATTTGTGCAAGCCAGCATGAGTCTCATCAGCCATCTGCATTTCGCCGAAAACATCTGAAAGGTTCACTTCCTGGGAAGCTGAAGGCGATGGAAGGGTTCCAGTACCACCCATTTGAGTATCCTCTTCACCCAGAACAAGCCGGTGCGTTTCTGTACTATGATCAAAAGCCTTTTTAAGCAACGAGCGGCACTTTTTCACCTTAGTTTCACTCAAAATCGTGTCACGGACGGAGGTAAGCGCATTCTTATCTTCTCCATACTCCTTCAAATAACCGAGTAATTTGGAAATCCACGCAGCCGTGGAAAGCTCGTTCATCTCATCTTGAGCTTTCACGATAAAGGGCCATTGTTCCAAAATCACTACCAAAATTGGACCTATCAATGATGACTTGCTAGGTAATGAGCTCACTTGGTCAAGATATGGGACTGGCCGTTTCGCAAGTCTTGTAAAGCAATTATCAATGAAAGACCAGGGCACAGGAATATTCTCATCTTCCAACTGAATACTAAGCACCAGGGCTTCGAATGAATCTGGTTGTACCAAGATTGAATCCTGCATCAAGACATCTTGTAGAAGGGAGTTAATTTTGGCCCGGGCGCTATGTTCCTGTTTTTCCACAGCAACTTTTAGCACTGAGGTAAATACCGATAAGGTTAAGGGTGCTAGATATCAAAAAAGTATGTCAGTCTGTCTCATCGGTAGACCTCTCAGTAAAACGCAACTTACCTGGCTTCTGCCACCAGCGCATAGCAGGCGAATGTTGAGAAATTGCTAGGATGTGCTGCAATTGGCTGAATAATAACTGATGGTTTTCCGTGGACAACTCGTCATTGCTCAGTTGGTCCAGGACTTCTACTAAAACCAATGACACGTCGAACTTTTGTTCAAAAGCTACAGTTGGAGCGACTTGATAATATAAGGAAAGCAGCTCTAAAAGCGCATCTCGCTGCAGCAGGTCATCCTTCGGGGATTGACGGAAGGCAATAATGGTATCTTTCATCGTAGGACATCTGGAAGTGAACTCATTCATAAGTTTTGTAGACGCCTGACTCCAGAGTTCCGGATTTGAGCTTCCCATGGAGTCAAACATTTTTAGCACCCCTCGAAGTTTTCGAAGAGCCGCTGTTGTTGCCTTGATCGCAAACAACGTAACAATTTCAGTGTTCTGGTTCATACAGCGAGTCAACATTTTTTGCGTAAGAGGGCGCGGGAGGATACTCTCAATAGCGACAGATACCGGAGGAGGTACCGCAGGTGAGCCTTCCCTGAAGCCGCATTTTTGAGGTACGGGCAGCTGGATAATAGAGAATAAAAAGGCGGACTCTCCAAGCCAGGCCTGTGTCGGCTTTGGGTCGGAATCAAACATATTGCGCTTCGAGAAGTAATCATATACAAGCTCAGGAGCGGCTCGGAAAATTTTCAGTAGTAACTGCATCTGTCGAGTGTCTGATTCCGGGCGAAGGAACTGAATCAAAGTTGAAAGGTTTCCATTACGGATAGGTATTGTTTCGTTAAATTTGTCGAAGTGGCTTGGTGCATCAAGTCCAAGAGAGATGGTTTCGTTGTCGTTGATTAGTGGTTCTGTACTGTTGCCTGACGAGTACCAACCATTATCCGATAATAAGACACCCTTGTCGACGTTTGTACAAACCAGCAGTAAAAACTTGTGTATTTCGTCAGAAACAGATACACCTTCCGGCATAATTTCCTCAGAGTCCTTTTCGTACCCATAGAGTGTTGCGAATCTTTCCAGGTTCCATCGACTTAAGAGGCGGCTCTTGACACTGCGGGAGAGAACAGGATCCGATACAACGAATTTATCCAATGTCTTGATAATATCCACAACTATGTCCCCTGAATCTCGCTTAATATCCTCAATGAATACCTTTATAAGTTTTCCCTGACTCAATAGCTCAGCTTTAGCTGCAGGGCTTTGATATCTTAGATTTGCAAGCAAGTAGCGCTGGGCAATACGGCGGAGCGTGGGCTTACGTCGATCCGCAGCTATTTCCCCCGCCTGTAACTTACGTATGGTAAGAAACACATCGAGCCTTTTCAGCGTTATATCTCGTTTAGCATAGACTACCTTTGCAACGGCCCCACCGTCAAGGCTCACGATCTCGGTCAGCAGCCTAAGACAAGGCGATATCAAATGCTCTTTTGACTTGCTTGCAGTAAGACCACGGTTGATAAGTTTGATGTTTTCATTGGATAGCAAGTATTTGCTAAGCTCAATTGAAAATTCTCTGAACTCAAGCTGGGAAGAAACGGTTTTCAGGAAGGATGCGAGAACCGAGGGTATAAGCGAAAGTGTCGACTCTTCATTATTGCTCTCTGCAAAGTTCCAAATGCTAACAAGATCAGTGAAGCAAATCGGGGGAGTTTCGTCTCCTCTTTTGACATATTGAGAAGCACAATATTTTTGTAAGACTTGGAGTTTCGTTGACTTCTCAGCTTCAGAGATGTCCCCTTGAATAGAAGCCAAAAATTCTTTAAATTGACGAATCCCTATATCAATTTGTTAGGTGAATCAATATAATGCATCATAAGCAGGAATATCAGCACATACCTTGCTTTGTTTCCTGTGATATGTTTTGCTGGAACCTCAAAATATCTCTTAATTGCTGGTAGGAGGTAATTTCAGCAACTACAGGAATAGTAGCATCACCATCAATCTTTCTCCGTTTAGCCCGAGCGGCATTATCATCGAAACTAGCCATTGTGAGTGCGCCGGTTTCCTCTTTCTCATAGGATTGATATCTCATAGGATTGATATCTCATCGTCAAAGCTATGACTTTGGAAAAAAAAAAAAAAAAATTAAAAACTAAGTTTACCTAATGTATCACGTGATCGAAGCAAACGCCTGGCTCGTTAACTCCGAGATATTTCCAGCAACATCGAGCCAAACGCCGGCTCATTTGGCGCAGGGCGGAAAAGCAGTGGTAAAGATCACAATAGAAGGGAAAGTGATTCATGGATTTCGCGACTTATCAGGCGGTATAACTTTTTACTATACAAGGATTCATTTTTTGGTCTTTGCCTTCACCTTTTGAACAAGCTTGCTAATAGCTTCCCCATCATCTGCCACCGTTAAGCTTGACTTGCTTTTCTTATTTTTTTTCAGTTTCTCACCGGACTTCTCTTCATCGGGGCCCGTATCATCGACGTGGCGTCTTCGCTTTCGACCTTCTTCAAGTAGCAGGTTCATACCCGTTGTTTGTTTAAACCTGGGGTTGGTCGGGTCAATGGCGTATTCATGGCTTTCAAAGAGGCTTTGGAATCTAGGATCCTTAACGTTCATCTCAAAATTATCCACAGGCATAGTTTCGACAACGCTCTTCTTTCCCTTTCTATGCTTGCTGCTCTTTCGAGCCCGTTTCTGAGCCTTTTCAATCTCATTCATATCAAAGTGTGAAATGGGTGTTGACTTTTCGTCATCC